TTGTTTAGAGGTCAGCTGAAGCACGCCTCCGGGTGTGGGAGTTTCTCGTGCATTGAAGACCCATTGGTGGCCTTCGGTTGTTGTCTGCTCTTTGGTCGGGTTTTTGTCTCTTTAACACATTCCCCCATTTCCATTCTCAATTTTATTTGAAATTATAAGTGAGTTAAAATATCTTGATTACCATGATTACGGTTTCACTGTCTTTCATTGCAAATATCATAAAAAAAAACATTTATTTGTTCTTTAAATAATTGTTATAGGAATTAAGAAAAAAAAACTGTTTGTAACTTGTTGAAAACGTAGACTAAAGTACAACGTAACCTCTTTCCGTATCAGGCGATTTTTTTTTTGCAGTATTTTCATGGAAAAGTCTTTTACCAGCATCAAGTTGCTGAAGGAAACACACAGAAATGATTCTAGAACACTTCACAAGTGTTTAAATATGAAAAAATCACAAAAAGAACCATCGAAAAAGTTGTGTTTTTCATTACCGGAAATTGAAAAGACCTTGTAAATCAAAAACAATTACGGTGTGAGACACGTCACAAATTCGTACATAATATTTTACAAAAATATGCGACTTTGGAAGTTAAATTATGCCGTCTTTTAGCAAATTATAGATAAAGTATTAATCTAAATATTGTTTGAAGCACCTTTAGCTAAATCAAAGCACAAGTAGCAGTCTGTAACACCAAAGCCTGAACTAAAAACACAAAGGAAACCATCTTGAAATGATCTTGACATCGACCAATCAGATCTCTAGGTTTATTTCATTCATAAATAACAACAACTTGATTTGACAAGCATGAAGGTCAATTACGAGATAAACGGAATAAAATTAACAAGAATACAAATGAGCATACATTAATGATTTAATTAAGATGATTTAAATAATCACAATCATCTCAAACAAAACGAATAAAATGATTAATAATAATTACCTTTGAAATATCAGAATCCACCAAATTTAAAACGTCCTTGATTTACGTTTTGTCGACGAAGTTAAAATTACCGCCAAATGAGACTTCAACTCCATGTCATATTAGTCACAGCCGTTCTACAATATTCCTGCGCTTTTTGCCATTTGGCAAATGTAAACGACTTTTAATTAGAGATTTTCGGCGATGAAATAATTCATACCATTGTACTTTGACATCTTAGCTAAAAGCACAGGGGATAATAAACTACATACGGATTTCTATTGAGCACTACTTCCAATGTGAAACTTCAAAACTTTTGGGTGTTTCGACGATCATTTAAGGTTTTTCTGGTCATATTTTTTGTATTCCAGAATTAAAAGTATGAAAAAAGTGTTCAATTAGTTAAAAATAACATAATAGCTATAGCCAGCTAGATAATAACAATGGCACCTATTTCAGCATTTATTGGGCATGTTGGGTAGAACACAAATCTAGGGTGCTCGCATAAGGCAGCTTAACTGCCTAAAAATTACATGTTAGCAGTATTGTTTTATTTCAAAACTTGGTTGAATTTTCACATTACATTATATGCCACAACAAGTTAATTTTGCCAACATTTATTGAGGAATTTTACAAGTTGTTGTATTGCTACTTTTCAAATATTTTTATAGGTACTTTGAAATAAATACAGTAAATATTTGTTACTGTTTAAATTTAGAGAAGCTCCAAAAACAGATCCTGTAGATGAGTTTCTGTAGTTTTGGGAAGTCATACAACATGCCTTAACCATGTTAACAATTTTTTGTGTTTGCTAATATATTATACATGTTACCAATTTTTTAAATTTGTTAAGAGTTCAAACTTTTATCTCAAGATTCAACAAAGGCATTTATTGCCATTTACATACATGTACACATATGTAAAGTAACTATGTGTGCCAATGCCTTCAAAAATTGTTCCTTAGAAAATTGTAATTATAAATGATCAGTATTTTGAAGACAACAGACAAATGACATTTTCATTGTTCATGAAATAGAACTATTATGAATATATTAAAAACGAATATATTACAATGTATAAAAGACAAATATATATTACTTTAGAGTTAGACGTTTTTAAAAAACAAATCAAGACTCACTTCTTTCGAACTGCTTTTAAGGATTTCTTGTAGATTTTATATACTTTTAACTGACTGCATCAATTTTAGACTGTTTTGTATATTTTAGGGTACATGTATTTTTTTTAATTTTTATCTGCTTGTTTGATTTGTATTAGTTGGTACTTTGTATTTTATGTTTTATGTTTTTTTGTATTGTATTTATTATTATTTTTACAGACAATAAGCATGATAAGTAGTGAAGACACTCAATAGACTATTTTCATATTACCGACTTTTGACTCCAAAGTATATAATTTTTCGACAGGTTACCAACTCTGTGACGTAGGAAATTCTAGTACTCAATCAAGTAGGAGCAACTAAAGATGTAAAATATAACTTACAATCGTTGCAATTTGGGGAAAATATTAACTGTTGAATGTTTTCTATACACGACGAAATACATTGAAATAATCTGTATAGAGTTAATTTTCTCCACAAGATGCATCAATTAGTGTAAGCTTGATTTTACTTCTTTCATGATCAGTTGCTTTTACTTGACCTGTCAGTACCAGAATGTCCTAAAACAAAGTTGGAAACCTGTAGAAAATAATATGCTTCGGCGTCAAAAGTCGGTTGTATAAAAAAAAGTCTATTACAGCAATGTAGTCAACATGGTCAAGAGAAATTCAAAAAAAGAAGAAAATATGACTTTTTTCTTCTTCTATGTACATGATGTATACAATTAATTTGACATAAAAATATCTGAATCATATTGTCTAGGGATGTAACTTTACCACCAGAGTAATTTCTATGTACAAATGTACAAGTAAATGAAAAACACTTGTAAAAGAATAACACCTGACTGACAATATAAAATTTTAAAAAAATAATCAAAATTATGTAAATTTTAAAACTTTCATTTGGCCTTTGCCCTCCCCCCCCCCCCCCCCCACCTTTTGTGGGAAAAATTTGGTTGATTATATAGGGAATCACTGAAGCATGACTGGAGCGGGGCCCCCTCTTACAAAAATGTAGTCAGTCAGTGGGCCCCTTCTTATGAAAATTTCTGGATCCGCCACTAGCTGGTACCATCGGGGGCCACTTACAATATAATGAGTGGTAGGGATGAGCCGCTTGAATAATACTACGTATGGTCACTATTTTAATTTTTCATGATAAGGTCGAGAAATTTAGAAGAAATATATATATATATATATATACATATATATAAAAGTCTAAAGATTTGCGCAATGGTACTAATATAAGACGGTAATATACGAAGATGATTGACACTGACAAAGGCTATTTATTAAGTTGAAATATTTGTCAACACGATTTTATAACACATCATCTCAATATATTACCATCTTATAATGTAGTTAGTACTGTTGCGCAAATCTTTAGACTTTTGTAATTTTTTTCATTATCTGCGCAGTATCATCTATTCTAGACGATACAGTACATATTAAATTTGCTGGTTGGTCCTTTTTATAGACTTTTATATATATAACGTGACGGTACCCAAATTGCACCTATTTTGAATGTTTTTTCACCTACGTTTATTTATGATCCAGACAAAAGTTTCCATTCTGTGTTTATTTTGTAGATCTATGTATCCTTTTTTTCTATCATAGTTACACCAATTTAATTTTTAATCTTTATTGAATCATAGAAAAATGGGTTTGAACCGACCTCCAAAGGATCCATGATTCTGTAATGAGGAGTACCCAAATTGCATCCATGCTTAAATTCACATCCTTAAAAATCGAATAACAGATGTTTTGTTTTATTTCTTCAAATATTTAGAACAATTAAAAATTTGACATTAGTGCATGTGTAAACAGAGAGCATGATTCTACTTGCAAAATCGCATGTCTCCACCGGGACTCGAACCCGGGACCTCTGTGTTACAAGGCAGCGCGTTAACTGACTGAGCTAAAGAAGTACTTCCTTAGCTCAACCGCTTACGGCTGACTAAGTATCTACTAAATTTCTAAGGGAAGCAATCCCGTCACACTTCCCCCACCTCAAGAGTCATTATACTCTATAATGATGATATCTTCATCTTTTTTATATTTATGTTTTAACCTGGCTATAGGTATTTCTTCTAACGGTGGGTTTTTATTGTTGGGCGCCAATGTAACCGGAGAGTATGATTCTACTTGCAAAATCGCATGTCTCCACCGGGACTCGAACCCGGGACCTCTGTGTTACAAGGCAGCGCATTAACCGACTGAGCTAAAGAAGTACTTCCTTAGCTCAACCGCTTACGGCTGACTAAGTATCTACTAAATTTCTAAAGGAAGCAATCCCGTCACACATGCTTAGTATTCATTTTTTAAGAAATGGTTGCTTGTAACATATTTTATTTGATCATTTTTAAAAGATGACTTTTTGTGGACGTCGCATGGCGACGTTTCCGTAGATTTTACTTTTTCCAGTGAATGCTTCATCTGTTGAATATACTGTGAACGTTTTGTGTATATATTTAAATATATTTACCTATGCTGAAAGACGTGTATATAATGTCAAATCATAAAAATACAAATTGTTTAGTCTCAAAGAAAAATTGTTAGATTTCCGCTGCTATTTTTGCTGAATAGGTGCAGTTCGGGTACTGTGACATTAAATATATACATGAATATATATGAAATGGTTGCCGATTGAATTTTTGTTATTCAAAATAAATAAAAAAGGAAGGATATAGGATGCCTCAGCAGGGCTGCCAAGTCTCACGCATTTCTCACGCATTTTCATGCTTATTTGGCGGCATTTTCCTTTGATCTATTGTTTTTTCTCTTTGATCTTTATGATTTTGGCCAAATCTCACGCATTTGCATTATTAAAAGTTGGCAGAACTGCCTCTGCTGCTCACCCTTACCACAAAAGGATTGATGTGGTCCCCATCTATGAAATGATTGTTAATATGGAGTCGGACTCTAATTTAATCTTTTTTTATACCAATTGTTAATGGGACTTACCAATTCCAATACCTAAGATTGCTCTTCCTGATATCAGCATTGCTATATTTTGGGCTACTGCAAGAACAATTGCGCCAGCTGTAAACACAAAACTCCCAATTATAATTGTAAGTTTTCTTCCTAAATATTCATTAAGAACACCACTGCAAATGGAAAACACTGCTGCAGAACCTATTGTAACACTAACAATAACTTCCTCGCTGAAGGAACTGAGATCAAAGTTCGTTTTGAGTAAGAGCATTGCACCTGACACAACACCGGTGTCATATCCGAATAAAAAACCTCCTATAGCTGCAAAAAATGACAATAATAATAAAAATCCTGATAATTTAGTCTTCTCTTTCTTTTTGTGCTGAACAACTTTTCTGTGGCCAGGTTCATTTCCCACATTAACTGAATCATCAGCCGATGAGTACGATATTTTGTCCCTATCTATAGTGTTCACAAGCAGTGTTTTTTCAGAGTTTTCAGCTGACATTTCAAACAGTTCTATATCGGAGTCACAATCTACGAATTCTGTCATATGATGTTATCAAATATCAAACGTATATATAAGTATAGTTCTCTCCCTTTCCATCTGGGTAACTTTGGAAGTTAAGAACTTTAGCATTTATTAAAGAATTCTCCAAGACATTCAGTCGGTAGATTCAGTTTATTTACGATGACCACAATAAGTCGTGAGTAGGATAATCAATTAATATTGGGAGGGTTTGAATATCATTCGGGTGGACTTCGCCGGGTTCACATGCTCATCCCAGCACATTGATTTGTCAGTACTTCTTCTTCTCTAGAATTTACACCCTATTTGCAGGGTCACCGCATTAAAAATAGGCACTGGCTACGGTTACCCGCAAAAAGTAACAATGATAAGAAATAATTATTGTTACTTCCGAGACTATGTGTCAGGTGCAATGCTCTTACTCATCTTTACTACACCGTATCAATACAGAGTCAAACTAGAATATTCTCACTATACAAATCCTTGTATTCATTAAATAACACCTGCATTAAATATCAACTTCAACTTTCAAAATGAGCACCATCATGAACATGAAAAATGCAGCTATGGCAAACATTGAAGATACAGAGGTTCAAATAAAACAGGACACAACAGTATATAGCTTGTTAACAACAGTAAATAGACTAAAATCACCAAGAGCTTATTCTTATAAATGTAAATCAGTAACATCATATTTACTGCTCATACTATTAGCAAATGCAAATGATGTAAATCCAAACCCAGGACCAACACATAATGACAGCACTATGTACCCATGTGGAACTTGTGACCAGCCTGTGACATGGGACGACAGAGCCATAAGATGCGATGCCTGTGACCAATGGTTTCATATCAACTGCCAAGATATTCACAGTAAAACCTATAGCTACCTTGTGGATGATAAAAACATCTCTGTGCGATGGGATTGTATCATTTGTGATAATCCAAACTACAATTCCTTATGCTATGGTTCAACAGTTATCTCAACAAACAATAGCTTTAACTTATTACTAGATGGTACACTTGATATGAGTACAGCATCCCAACAAGAATGTGTAAAACCAAAACACACATCAACTCCAAAGAGAGAAAAACAAGAAACTAGGAATAAACCATTTATACCATTAAGGATCCTAAATGTGAATTGTCAGTCCATCAGAAACAAACAACACCAAGTCCAAAATCTTATAGATAGTACAAAGCCAGACGTAACTTGATGATAATGACAGAAACTTGGTTGGATTCATCAATCACCAACAGCCAAATATTCCCTCCAGAATATAACATCTATCGCAAGGACAGAAAGGAAAATAAAACTGGGGGTGGAGTCCTTATCGCCATACACAACAAGTTTCTAAGCACTGAAATACCAGAACTAGATACTAACTGTGAAATTATATGGGCACGAATACAACAAAAAGGCACAAAAGACCTATACATATGCTCAATGACATATTATAATCCAAAAACATCTAACAAAGAGAGCCTCTCAGAATTTGAAACAGCTGTAACTAGAGCCTCACAAAACAATGCATGCTTAATGATTGGGGGTGACTTCAACCTACCAGGATGGAACTGGACAAACAAAACAGTCCGCCAAGGAACTCAACATGCAGAACAACATTACCAGCTTACAGATATTCTTGATGACAATGGATTAACTCAATTAGTACAAGAGCCAACTAGAAATAAAAACACTTTGGACCTTCTTATAACCAACTGTCCTAGTAAAATGATGAGACTTGATGTCATTCCAGGAATTTCAGACCATGATATTGTTTATGCAGAAATGAACACCAATCCAATGACAAACAAACAAAAGCCAAGAAAAATCCAACTGTATAGAAGAGCTAAATGGGACAGCATAAAAGAGGATATGCATTTGCTTTATATCAAAATTCAAAAAGAAAGCATGAACAAGAAGACAAACATCAATATACTCTGGAACATGTTCAAAGAAGACCTAGAAAGCAGTACTAACCAGCATATACCTTCCAAAGTATGCAAGACTAAGGACAAAAACCCATGGATAACCCAGGAAATCAAAAAACTTATGAGACGAAGAGACCGAGCCTATAATATGAAAAAGAAATCAAACCATGCTACTGATGTTAAAAGATTTAAACAACTGAAACAAACCATCCAAAGAAAATCAAGACAAGCCTATTGGAAGTATATAGAAGACATAATAACTCCAGAAGATAACGAGGACATCCGTTCACTAACAAAAAGATTCTGGACCTATATCAAACACAAGAAAAGTGATAAAAATGGAGTAGCACCACTTAGAAGAAATGGGAAATTAGAAACTGACCCAATAAATAAAGCAAATATTCTAAATGATCAATTTCAATCAGTCTTCTCTGCTGCATGTCCAATCAGTAAACGAGATTTTGAAAAGAAAAAAACTCATGTCAGATCTACCAGAAAATTATCCAGACAGCGAACAAATAATCATCACAATTAATGGAGTGGAAAAACAGCTGAAAAATCTAAAACCACACAAGGCTGCTGGACCAGACAACATCAAGCCAATGATTCTGAAAGAACTAGCCAGTGAAATTGCTCCAATCTTAACCATCATATACAATTTTTCAATGAAGAAAGGAAAGATACCCGATGACTGGCGACTGCAAATGTCACTCCGGCATATAAGAAAGGCCAGAAATACATAGCAGCTAACTATAGGCCAATATCCCTAACATGTATTTGCTGCAAAATAATAGAACACATAGTCACCAGTAACATCATGAAACATGCAGAGGTAAATAACATAATATACCCATTACAACACGGCTTCAGAAGTAAAAGATCATGCGAAACACAACTCCTTGAATGTATCGATGACATCACAAAAAACCTGGAAAACGGAAAACAATCAGATCTGCTAATACTTGACTTTTCAAAAGCTTTTGATAAGGTGTCCCACAGCTTACTCCTCCATAAATTACACCATTATGGCATCCGAAGTAAAACAAACAAATGGATAAAGGAATTTCTCACCAATAGAACTCAGGTAGTAGTTGTTGAAGGCGAAACATCTGACAAAGTAAAAGTAGAATCCGGAGTACCGCAAGGATCAGTATTAGGGCCCAGTCTTTTTCTGTTTTACATCAACGACCTACCAGAATGCTTACACTCCACAATGAGACTGTTTGCGGACGATACTGTGGTCTATTTGACAATTTCATCAGACAGCGACTGCCATAAACTCCAAGAAGACCTGGACAAACTGGCAAAATGGGAAGAACTCTGGAAAATGGAGTTCCATCCTGAAAAATGTAGTGTCCTCACAGTTACAAAAAAGAAAAAGCCAACCAAGTGGGACTATAAACTCCACGGCCATACTCTGGTGCATGAAACATCAACTAAATACCTAGGCTGCACCATCGCAAATGATCTAGATTGGGGAGAACATATAAACAACATCACAGGAAAAGCCAACCGAAGCCTTGGTTTCCTACATCGAAACCTCCACATTAGCTCAAAGTCCATCAAAGAGCATTCCTATAAAATATTAGTAAGACCGCAAATGGAATACGCCACGACAGTATGGGACCCGTACCAGCAAAACCACATAGATAAAATTGAAAAGGTACAAAGAAGAGCTGCAGACATAGAAATAGATCAAGTGTCAGCAACATGATAAATGAATTGGGATGGAAAAGCTTACAAACAAGACGAAAAGAAGCACGACTCATCATGTGTTACAAAATAACAAACGACCTTGTAGCCATAGACAAGAATAAATATCTACAAAAACCAACAGGAAGCTCAAACCGGACAGGACAACATACTTACCTATTACAGCCAGCCACCAAAGACTGTAGGAAATGGTCCTTCTTCATAAACACCGTCAAGGATTGGAACAAACTGCCACCAGATACCGCCACAGCAAAGTCTCTTGAGATATTCAAGTCTCAAGTCACCAAAACCACAAACTAAATCAACAGAACAATTTGTTTTTATCCTGTTTTTAACCTGTTTTTAATCATGCGCAACTTGCCAGAATATTCATCATGTTGAATGTGGGCAGTATTTGGAAGAAGAAGACTATATTGCCGAGATGAATTTCCGGAGAGGGACTCAATTTCACACGGAAATTGCAGTAAGTAAGTATGTAAGTAAAACTTTATTTTGATTCGGCATATTGACAAACATACTACAACATATATATAAGGTCTAATGAGCTTTTCACCGAATATAAAACACATGCAATAACAAATAAAACAAGGCATGCAGCAAGCAAATAAATAGTAATAAAACAGCACCGCATTTGACTCTAGCATTTACATGTATCTTGCTAATACTAAAAACATATATATGAAGCACTAATACAGGAATTATTTTTAAAAATTTGCAGCTAAAAATTTTTAGTAAATAATTTAAAGTAAAAACTTCAAATCTTGTAATTATTAAAACGTAAAAACAAAATTTTAGTTGCAATGCAAGCTGTTTATGCAGCATATAAAGCATAAATAATGTACAGTATCACAAATTACCTGCAGGCAGAGCAAAAACAGTCCGTTCCACTCCAGGACTGAACAAGACTTCTAAAATGTGTGAAGCTGTTAACAGTCCTGAAATGGTCTGGTAAACTATTCCATAGATTAAGAAGCAGCAGCAAAGCTAAAAGATTTCTTTCCATATGAGGTAGTTCTTACCTGTGGTAATTTCAAAAATGTTACTGTATCTAAAAGAATATTTAGTGTCACGGTTTAATGTGAAGTAAATTTTGAAAACCTAAAGGAGCCAAATTATTTAAAATTGTATAAGTCTCAAATGCAATTGTCCTGATGCGTCTCACTTGTAGGGTTGGAACCTTTGTGTTCTCAAGAAGAGTTTGAGAGGATGATAAATAGTCGTCATATACGAATCTTAATGCTCTCTCTAGTCTTGTATTTTTTCCAGTTTTTTTATAATTTTTCTCTGTACAAAAATGCCAAGCCAAAGGGCAAAAATTAAAATTACTCAAAATGAAAGTATGCAAAATTGTAAGTTTATTCAATCTGGTTAAATAAGATCCAATTCTCTTGAGAACATTCAGCTGTTGTGATGCCTTTCTACACATGTTACTTATATGTGCATCAAATTTTAGTTGGTAATCAATATCAATTCCAAGTAACTTGACGGTTTCGTCACATGATAAAATATTTTGCTGAATTTGGATTGACGGAATTTTTGCATAGCTTCTTTTCCCTAAAGCAATAACTTGAAATTTATCAGGATTTGCCTGCATCTTATTTTCTTTGAACCAATCAATCAGCA